TCAAAAGAAACTAAATTACTGCTATGTATTTGCGTAGCCTTCACTGATTCCTCTGGCCAAGGGAGAGCAGCATCTGATTGACTGAGTGATTGATTAAATAAATAAATAAATACAATTTATTCTCTCACCTTCTCTAAGTCCCCAAGTTCTTAGAGAAGGATTTTTGTCTGTCCCGTTAGTTAGGCTCTAGACCTTCAAGAAAACTGACTTTTAAATAAGTAAGATTTTTTATAAAACTATTTACCACTCTAGTGTGAATTGTACAACTACATTTGCTTCAACATGCTAGACCATTTTTATGGGACTTTTGTATTTTGAGTCAAAGCACTCTACTGTTAGTGGAGACTGAACAGGTGCCCATACACTGGAAGCCTGGCCCAGCCATTGGACGTGTTCATAACACTGAGAGAACGTGATAAGGGCAAAAGCCTCTTACATAACAGCCAAAGTCATCCTTCCAGGTGCCTCATAAACTAAAATAAAACCCCAAATCTTAAGTGAGGTAAGCAGTGCCCTTGTAAGCCTCTCACTCCAGCTCTCGTGGGAACCAGGTGCTGGGCAGCTCTGATACCTGAAGAGTGAGGCCACCATGCTGGGGAGCACAGGGCTTGAGAGTGTTGAACCCCAGAGCCAGACTACTGGGCATCCACACGGCTCACCATCCTGAGCTGGGTGATCCCACGTGTGCCACATAAAATCGTCACCTTGGTTTCCTCATTTATAAGATATGGATAGCACCGTCCTGTATCTCAAAGGGTTACTGTGAAAATAAAGAGTTACTGTAGGTAGAATGTTTCATATGATGCCTACCACACAGTAAGTGTTCGAGAGTAGCTGGTTACTATTATAGTTCAAAATCGTCCTGGGTTCAATTACAGCCCCAAAGTTTGTAATTTAATATCTTTTTCAGGTAGTTTCCTTCACTTCCAATTGGTCTCAAGGAATTCTGACTGATTAAATGGTTAAGCAGTACCTTTTAAGAGTATGTGGCAGTTCTGGAGATGGAGGGTGGTGACGGTTGCACAATATGACTGTACTTAAATCTCGCTTATATGATTAAAATGGTCAACTTAATGGATATTGCACCATTTCTTTTAGTGCTATAATCGCTCTTAAAAATTTATTTTATTGAAGTAGAGTTGATTTACAATGTGTTAATTTCTGCTGTACAGCACAGTGATTCAGTTATATATATATATATATATATATTCTTTTTCATATTCTTTTCCATTACGGTTTATCACAGGATCTTGAATATTCCTGTGCAATACAGTAGGACCTTGTTGTTTATCCATCCTATATATATTAGTTTGCCTCTGCTAATTCTGAACTCCCCTACTCCCCTCTCCCTTGGCAACCACAAGTCTGTTCTCTATGTCTGTGAGTCTGCTCCTGTTTCATAGATAAGTTCATTTATGTCATATTTTAGATATAAGTGATATCATATGTACCAATTTGTTTTTTTTAAAGAGTGTAAGATGAGACTTTGGAGTGAAATTGTCATATTAACTGAAACTCCCTGGTTTCAGTCATGAGGAAAAGGATGCTCAGAAACATACAACTTTGGCCCAGAGTCACAGAGTGGGCCTGTAATGATGCTGAGAATAGAAACTGGCTTCCCAAACTCCCAGACACTGTTCCAACCACCAAACAGAGCCTCCCGTCATTCACTTCTCTGCTGACTTCTACACCAGACACAGCAGAAGGAACAGCTGAAATCCAAACTAGTCATTGGAAAGATATCATTTTGGGGGGGATAAACAATGAGGGCCCATAATTTTATACGTGTGTGTAATTTAATTATGTATTTCGAGGGGGCTAGAGTTAGCAATACTCAAGGGTGGGGGAAATCATGATCTGATATTCAAAACAATCTTTTGATAGAAAAGAAAATGTCACAGAAAACCTTAAAGTCTCTACGTCCAAAAAAACTGCTAAGGCAGGGAAAGAAGTTTACCAAAAAAAAAGGTGGTACATTTCTACGAGCTGTCTCAACTAAGAGGACCGACTACACAGTAAAATTAATCCATACAGCTGTAATTATGATGAGAGTAACAAGATCTCATGAATTCACAGCTTCCATGGATCATTATGTAATAAGTGGACAATGTTTTACCTTCTGTGATCACACTAAGGGAACCTAACTTCTCTCACATGAATCATACTGCAAAGGTGACTTTCAAATTTCCTGTGTGATTAAATCCAATTTAATCAATATTTACTAAGCACCTACCACGTGCAGGGAACTGTCCTCAGGACTGGGTGTGAAAGCAAAAACAATGGAAATAATTCTTGTACTGGGTGTACAGTGGAGTGGTATCACAGGTCATTTAACTCAAGAGCATGGATAAAGTGACTACTTGCATAGCACGGCAACATCTAGAGCATTTTGATCAATGAGCCCATAAGCCCATGAGCCCATGAGAAGAGAGGGGCTGCCTGAACATGCCCTTCCTTCAGTGAGTCTCAGACCCCACGTGCTTCTCAGAGTACGTGCACCTGCCCGTTAAGAGTACTTCTACTAAGATGTGACACATATATACAATGGAATATTAATCAGCCATGAAAAGAAATGAAATTGAGCTATTTGTAATGAGGTGGATAGACCTAGAGTCTGTCACACAGAGTGAAGTAAGTCAGAAAGAGAAAGACAAATACCGTATGCTAACACATATACATGGAATTTAAGAAAAAAAATGTCATGAAGAACCTAGGGGTAAGACAGGAATAAAGACACAGACCTACTAGAGAACGGACTTGAGGATATGGGGAGGGGGAAGGGTAAGCTGTGACAAAGCGAGAGAGAGGCATGGACATACATACACTACCAAACGTAAGGTAGATAGCTAGTGGGAAGCAGCCACATGGCACAGGGATATCGGCTCCGTGCTTTGTGACTGCCTGGAGGGGTGGGATAGGGAGGGTGGGAGGGAGGGAGACGCAAGAGGGAAGAGATATGGGAACATATGTATATGTATAACTGATTCACTTTGTTAAAAAAGTGAGAAACTAACTAATAAAGCAGAAACTAACTAATAAACTAACTAATAAAGCAGAAACTAACACACCACTGTAAAGCAATTATACCCCAATAAAGATGTTAAAAAAAAAAAAGAGTACTTCTACTGTTTAAAGATAAGTACTTCTTGTACATCATGACTTTTTTTTTTTTTTTTTCCATCATGACTTTTAATACAGCCAGTGGTTTATCTGTTACCCAACCTCAGTCTGTTCCAGTGTCAGAGGAAATATTGGGACATTTAAAGGTAATTTTGACTGTAGATGAATTTTCACCTCACACTATGACTCTAGAATCTAAGAAGCAATTCCATGAGCTAATAACTACCATGTGGTTAAGAGTTAGACCATCCGGTGTGATTCTCAGCTCCATTATTTAACCTGCTGGGTGATGTTAACCTCTCTGTACCTCCGTTACCTTATCAGTTACAACCAGGAAAATAAGGATATCTGCCCTCTTACAGTCATGGTGAAGATTAAATGAGAAAATGTGCATGACACAAAGCAGTGCTTACTGCATAGTAACTATAGTCATTGTTGTTGTTAACACACATGCATCTAACTGCAATACAAGGCGGTCACGATAAGAGTTATATAGGAGGTAAAAAGTGCAGGAGTGCAGAAAAGCCCAAGTAAATCCCTTGGGAGAGTCTGGAAGGGAACTAAGAAGTTTTGATGAAGGAAGGAGTGGGTAGAGGGTGGAATGGGGATAGTGGGTGGCCAAGAGCAACATGAATGAAGACACAGACAGCTGAATGTTCAAGGGCAATCCCAAGGAGTGACAGATATTGGAACTGACTGCACGTGGGCACATTTGTACAGGAAGTAGCAGAGTCCTCTTGGGACCCCAAAATAGGGAGTCTGGAATGCCAGGCTCAGAAGTCATAAATGTTGCAAGTGATGTGGGAGTCATCAAAGACACTCTGAGCAGAAGTGTCTCAGCTCTCCAGTGGAAGATAATTCAGTGTGGCAAGATGGACTGGAGAGGGGAGACCCATAGCAATGATACTAGTGAGGAGGCCTAGGTGATGGTGAGGGCCCAAGGGGGAAGGGCAGGGGAGAAAATGACAACAGCAACTGAGACAAGTCTGAGATGGAACATACCACCAAACTGTTAAAGCAAACCTTTGGACAACTGTCAAGCCATGATTTGTAGACAACCTGACTCAGGCTTAATACTAAACTGGCAATCCTGGAATAGAAATGAATTCTGGCAGTGGCCTTCCTATAAGCCAGACCTGATCCCGTAGCCATGCAGTGGCCAACACTATCCTATAAAGAGTCCAGTTCTATGGAAACTTTATAGCCACTATTAAAGAAGCACCCCAGGCAGCATTCATCATATATGTATTAGTATAAACACATGTAGAAAAACTTTTCAAAAACAAAGAAGTCAACAGGCTAAAGGAATATTCTTACCCTTTATACTTCCATAGCAGTATTTCAATGGGCTCTTCACATATTTCACAAATGTTTCCAAGCTTTAGTTTCCAAATTAAAATGTATGCTAAATCCTTCTCGAAATCTGGGCTTTAAAAACGATGCCTTGTTTGAAGGAATGTGCATTTAATTACGATATCCCTGGGAGCTATGAATCTCTAGGAAATCGTCCAAAGATCTTTCTTAGTTTGATTCAAGTAATAAATATTCAAAAAGGGTGGGGTAAGCAGAACTACAGAGGAAGCCTTGAAGTGAACAATATGGGGCAAGTTTTTGTTATTTAAGTAACAACCTGCAGAGGAAGACTTAGCAATAACAATTTCCTTTTCATCATCCAGAGAATCTTCAAACTTAGCTTCTTCGCAGACTTACACAAGCAATTCATGTGGAAAGAAAATTAAACAGCGTATAAATGCTGATGGTCCCTATGTCACCATTTAGGAGAGACTTGCGAATTCAGACACACCAAATCTGAGAGGGCAAAGGCAGGCAATTATTTCTTCCTAGAAGAAAATTAATGAGGGGATAATTTTTGTACTTACCTAAAATATTTTCATGCCTCAGCATCACAGTGTTGTACAACTCTGTTTCCCTGAACCACGACTTCTCATCCCGGGAGGAGAAGATCTTCACAGCGACATTCTCCCCCTGCCAACTGCCCCTCCACACCTCACCATACCTGCCTTTCCCTGTGGAAAGCAACACAGAGGTGACATTGGACAGCAGAACAGGACAGGTAGCCAAAGAACTTCATGCTAGCAACTCTTAACCCCTCCCATGGAAAAACACAACTCAGGGGTATAAATACCACTACTTTTTGCCTGTAAAGACATCCAAAAATAAGGTGGAAACTGCCCCTCCCGGCCACCCTACTGTGCTATCAAATGAAACACTCTCAGAATCTGCATCTGTACAATGAGCTGCTAATTACAAGTTTACCTTTACATTCCTCTGTGAAAAGGTATGAAATGCATATGGTTTGTAAAAGCACATGAAAGTTAGTAAAACTTAGAAATTTCAATGTTGATGAAAGCCAAAAAGCGTGTATGGGGCTTAACTGAGTGACTTACTTGATTCCTTCCCTTAATAAAGGATCAACATCGGCATTTTCTAAGAGTCCACATTTGTGAATTTACATATGCATTTATATTTTTCACCAAAGAGATCACTGAGTTTGAGATATGTGTTCTGAAGGATTAACACACACACGCATGCACACACAGAGCAATGCTGTGTAGGAGATCGACAGACAGCCACTGCCGTCCTTAAAGGATTTCTTGGCGGAGGATATATTTCAAAAGAGGATTTGCAAAGTCTTAAACACATAATCCCAGAACAGTCCCGATTTCTGACACTGGTCATGGGTGTTCGCCTGCAAGACAGTCCCTGTGATGCCACAAGTGGGTGACACTGAAAAGGCCACTTGGAGAAAACATTTTCAAAAAACGGTGACGAGTTGTGATCTGACCTGAGGAGTTCGTGCCCCCTCCTGCAGCCCCAGCACAACTGTCAGCTTGTCAACTACATGCTCTTTTGCATTAGTCACTGGTATTTAGTAGGGACATTGCTTATCGTAAGGGAATCTAGATTGAGCAGTTTTGATTATGTTTTTTTTTTTTTTTTTTTGTAGTACGCGGGACTCTCACTGTTGTGGCCTCTCCCGTTGCGGAGCACAGGCTCCGGACGCGCAGGCCCAGCGGCCATGGCTCACGGGCCCAGCCGCTCCGCAGCATGTGGGATCTTCCCGGACCAGGGCACAAACCCGTGTGCCCTGCATCGGCAGGCGGACTCTCAACCACTGAGCCACCAGGGAAGCCCTTGATTATGTTTTGATTATGTCTGCTCCCGTTTTTCTCCTTAATGACAGGTAGGTGATCAGGGAGGTTGGGAGGAGGAGGGAATTACCGCGAGACTGGGGGGATCGACACAGGGTATGATCAAGGTGAAGGCAGACGTGGCACCTGGAAAACGATGCAGCAGGAGATACGAGTTGCAGGGCAGCGGGGCTTTCTACCAAGGCAAGTGGCTGCTGGGAATCCCAGCTGGTAATAAGCTGCTGCAGCACCACCTATATATACAGGAATGCAGCTCTTTGCTGGAAAACTAAGTCGCTGAGAACCCAAACATGGAGAGAGAAAGCATGTCTGTCCAGGAGATTATGTCTGGACATAATCAAAACTGCTCAATCTAGATTCCCTTACGATAAGCAATGTCCCTACTAAATACCAGTGACTAATCCGAAAGAGCGTTAAATGAAGCCAGTAAGTGGTCTTTTGTGGGCCACTGTCAAGTCACAAAAATAGTATTTAGTGCAGGATTAACTGGAATACAGTCATAGTAATTGCCCAGCATTTGTAGTTTAAGATGAAGGCTAGTGCTAAGATCTACAAAATCGACTGCTACAAAAGAGAAGGCTCATCTATTCCTGCCTTTGGTTCCATTCTGTATCTTTATTTGCCCTTTGTCCTCATATTCTCATTAGGAAGGAGAGAAAAATATCCCAGAGCATTGTGGACATTACTATACAGTTGCCTTAAATCCTTTGTTTTAGAGCAAACAGAGATAGATGTCAGCATAAGTAGACAGAATTGAAACAGAAACCTACTTAAATGGTTTTCAAAGGCTGTTAAGTTGTCAAATGCTTTTTGCAAATGCAACCTTATGCAGAAGTCCCTGAAAACAGAAGCAGAGCTGCCCAAAAGTCCTGGCCATGGAGACCCAAAAGAGGGGGGGGGGTCCCCTAAAGCACCTAAAATTTGGAGATTCATTGATCACCATCTGTAACAACGGATCTAGTCCAACTTCTCATGTTTTTCAACCAAAAATGGTAACATCCGAACAGTTCATTACATACATTTTTATGCAAGCCTGTACTACATGAACACCAACTAGATGCTACTGAAAGGCATGGCTCTTTAGCACTGAACCAATAAAATACTGTAACTGAACATAAACTATTTCAAAATATGCTGAAGAATATCTATACAACCGGAAACAATATGCATTTTTAAAGGTGCAGTATTATTTTGCCCTTTGGACTCTGGGGTCCATCTCTGAGGACCGGTCATGAGAGCTGCTGCTCTGTGAATGGTGAGTGGCCATGGGACAGGAGGATGGGGGATAATGTCCCCCTTCACTTCTTACCCCTACCCAGGTACCCTTGTTCAGAATCAAATAGGATGTTAGCTGGTACAAGAGGACAACTCTGGTTGTAAGCAGTGAGCACACTGGGGGCTTTTCCATTTTTAGTTTCTCTACACACAGTCCACCGTGGAGGAGAAGCATGAAGCTGGAGTTCAGAAACAGTTGCAGTAGCTACAGACGTAGAGAAAAGGCAACAGGCTCCTGCTGGCCACCTGTGTGCCTGAAGGTGGCAGTCACTTCTACTACCTCTGCCCGCCACCCCCTTCCACTACTGCATTTGGGGGTGTCCTGGTTTCCATGAAAACAGGAAGAAAAGTCAGAGGATAGTAGCCAAGTGGTGAAGGCAGCCTATGTTGGCCCGTCACCTCCCAAAAGCAAAAGATGATACGGCAAGAGCTGCAAAGCCAGCCCCCCAAAACTGGGAGAACCAGGAGAGTATGGAGATGTTTCTAATCCATCATTGCTCCTGTGGCCATCCCTGTATGCCATCTAAAGGAGAAATTAATGAAAACTGTCATGTGACTTGCAAATGCCCACCTCATAAAACTAAAACTAATAAAAATCAGGACTTTAAAGAAAAAAGCATTTGCACCACCTTCCTAGAGGGCAATCCGGCAATATATAAGACAAGCTGTAAAAAGTCACGAATTTTGACCCAGGAACCCCAATTCCTAGAAGTTTATTCTGCGTACTCAAAAGAAGCAACATGTGCAAAACATTTTTCAAACAGTATTGTTAAAGTTATCACGCAATAGACAATTACATAAACTTTAAAATACCTGTGATGTGTACCAATACATGAAAATGTGTGTGAGCTTAAAACTGAAAACAGGGACAAATTATACACACACCATGATTATATCTCTATACAAATATGTTCCAATATGGGAAAAAATGTGAGAGGCCACAGAGAAATGTACACAGCTCTTATTTAAATAAAGCAGTTATGAAGGGTAGCTTTGGTACATTTATTTCATTTTTTTTAAAGCAGGGGAAGAGTGAGGAAGTATAAAATTACAATAATCAAGTTTACTGTCCAAAAGCCGACTTACCTCAGATTCCCCAATGCCTATGGTCTGGAGCAGCCGTGTTAGTTCATTTTCAAGCATTCCCATCATCCGGAAGGGTCTACTTAAAACTGAAATCTTTTGACTGGGCACTCTGTATCCTGCCTAGTGGATACTAGTTCTTTGACAAGAACTTCACCAAGTTCAAGTGCTCCAACACAAGTCACAGATTAGAGGCATACCACCACATGGCTACCTCACATCTCCTGACGTTTAACAAGCAAGAGGCAACACGAAGCAGATTTTCCAAGGTCCATCCTACTTCTAGAACCACCGCACATAACCCGCAAAGAAAGGGAAAAAAGAATTACCAACACACTCCAGCAGTGTGATCTGACGGGCTACTGTTCTTTGTACCAGAAAAGGAAGACCAGAGCCGCTTCCCGACGTACACGAATGATCCAATAAATCCTGCGGTTCAAAACAAGGAGAAAGAGAAAGTATTGAGAAACTGCTCCCAGGTTAGAGTATGAGCGTGCACGTGGGTGTAACTGGCATGGAGGCAGTGGTCTTGGACACATGGCCCGTTCGTGTGCATGGAAAGCCCCACTGGAGGAAGAACTGGTTTCACTTCTTAGGAAAACCAGAAGCTAGCCCTTTCCCTAATATGGGATAGGTTTTCCTGAGGGATGAGTAGTCCTTTCTTGTATCCAGAGTCTTAGAAGAAAATATATAAAGAAAGAAGCTGAGTGGACAAAGTCAAAGATGTAAATTAAAAAGTCCAACATGCGGGGCTGAGCCCAAGGGGAAACAGTAGCTAGAAGAGAAAATGGAGCAAAAATCAAAGGCCTTCAAGTCCAAGAGTTGAGCAAAATTGACCATATTCGGCCCTGCTCAGAATACCTATCAAAGGATGCACTTTAGTTGACATGCCAAGGAACTCTAATAAGGAACAAACAAATTAGGAATAAGAACCAAATGACTCTAATGCTGTTTATCTTGTAAAGACCCCAGTGGCCATCTGAGTCCTCAGACTGGTACACTCAAGCAGAGAGGGCTACCTGGATGGAGGTTACTAGGTAGGTGGGGAACAAGAATCACAAAATTAACACCTCTATGTCATTTCTCTTTTTTTTGTTAACAGTTGTCTACTTTTAAAAAAAAAAATTTTTTTTATTGAAAGACTCTTAAATTCTATAGTGCTTTACAATTTTCAAGTTTCTCACACGTGATTTCATATACTGTACGTCATTCTCAATGTCAGTTACCCACAAAGCAGAGAGAAAAAATACGACTTTCATTGAAACATAAAACCATGCCCCAAATCTACTTCTAAAAATGAACACACTGCAAAAAAGATTCCCAATTAGTTCATTCATAAATTTTCCCTTCTTACTCTCAGTGCAAGCCAAGAAGCAGAAGCATTTTTGAATCAGGAATGGATTATCTATAATAAACAATATTGTGCCCATGGTGATCGTGGGAAGGTTGCAGTAATGTTGATCTAACACTCCCCAAAGCTGTCCTTTCCCAAACATTTTAGCTGGCCTGTTACATGAATACATTGCCTTGTTTGAGTTTCATTGTCTTTTACTTACTCTGGGCACCACTGTGAAGTACTGTTGATCAGCAAAATTACCAAAACCTGAACATCTAAAGGAAGAAATTTAGAATCCTTAAAAGCCGCAAAATGGATATTCAACAAGAAACTGAATGTAGATGAAGTAGGGTTTCACATCTCCCTATCTCTTTTGCTGTTCGTTTTTCTCTTTATTCATTCAATTTTTTTGAGAGAATAATTCTGAAATTACTATAGAACTAATGTGTTGTTTTTTCATAATGTACAATCCTGGTTCTAAACCTAGTTCATAGACTTCAGGGCGGGCGGAATCGACCAAAGACTAACAAACATCTACTTCAACTCTTGGATCCCAAGACTTCTTTTTCAGTGTAGGAGAGCTGTTTAGTAAGGTACGCATTGCTGAGTCATATAAATGAGAATATCACTTAAATAAGCAAGTATGTAGACCAATAATGACAACTTGTTTTTAAACAGTGTTGTTTACTGTGTCATTATATCGTGATATACTGTCATCTAAAACGGTTGAGTTGAGAAGACTATTTTAGCATATTTGAAAGCATTCTGCTTTCAAAATTATAGAAGCCATTTAAATAATAATTTACACTAGAGATTCCTATCAGTGCCCAATGTGATTAGCTATGTTAGCAGTTCTGAGGAACAAAGTTCTGACTACTGCTAAAGTTTTGTCAAGATTCAGCGTTGTATCGTCCTTGCTCCAAACTCAATGAATTCATTTAATTTGCCTTAAAACTTGAAACAAACTTCTAAATACACTTCTAAAGAAAAACTATATTTTTCTACTTTTTGAATGAAATGTCCTTTTCTCCTCTTTTCCCAGTTTCACTGTAGCACAATTAAATAGGTAGATAAAAGGAAGCTAAACAAGGTTCCTTCCCCTTTTTTTTCATACAAAAAAAGTACACTTGACTGTGGTCCAGTCATGGGGAAGGCAGTAGGATGGGATATTTCCCAGCCTGTATCAGCCACCATCAAATGTTTTAATAACTCGCCAAGGGTAGTAGTCCAGGTGTAGCACCTGAGCTACAATGACTGGTGAGGGCAAGTCTTCTCCAGCAAAAAGGCTTAACTGCAGAACTCCCGGACACTTTTAAGTCTGTCGTCTAGCAGAACAAAGACTTAATACAGATGATCTTACGTGATGGCATTAAATAACACTGAATCACATTAAAAGCTACCACCTTGACCGTCTTTCAATTCATCAGCCAATGACAAGGAGAGTCTCGATTTAGTACTGGCATGACTTTAACATCTTTCTAACACAAATCTTCACCTTTTTTTAAAGGGGGCATCCTACTCAGCACAGTACCCCTGTAGAATGTTATTACTTCTCCTTTCGGCACTCGATGGTAACCTATTCGATAGCACGCAATCCCTTTTCTCACTTAAAGTTTAAAGGTGCTTTAAAATTAACACTTGACAAACAATTTTAAAGAGTGAAAAAAGGAAGACAGTTGCTTTCAATGTGATTTCATCATTTTAAAATGTGCAAAAGAGTAACTTTAAAACATACAAGTACAATGGTTCCAAACCCTGTGCTAGGGTAGCTGCTAGCCACACGTTGACACTGAGACAGTGAAATGTGGCTGATCTGAACCGATATGTGCTGTACGTATAAAATACACAGATTTTTAAAATTTAGTTTAAAAAAAAAGATGCAAAATATCTCATTAATAATTCTTTAATTATATGTTGAAATGATAATAATTATATATGTTAGGTTAAGTATATTCTTAAAATTAATATCACCTGTGAGGTTTTTTTGAACTTTTTTTAAGATGGCTACTAGAACATTTTAAATTAACAGATGTGCCGCACGTATTGCTATTGGACAGCACTGGTTTAACCAAATGAGTGCAGTCCACAAGGGGGCGGCACAGGAGCACGAAAAATTTCATAGCTGCTTTTTTGGATGTCAGGTTTTAAAAGTCTTAAATTACAGGGCGCTGAAATAATCTAGAAGGGAAAGTGATTTTTAATATTAAGCAAAAGGTGCCTTTTTTTGAAAGCACTTTTACTGCTAAAAATAGAGGAACTGAGTACCATAAATTCCAAGCCCTCCCCCACCATCAAAATTATAGGCAACCATTGTCTGTCCCTGTCCCCTTACTCCCCAAAGAAAAATAACTACCAAGGATCGACTAAAATAAATCCACTCCCTCCTTTAATGTAAATGTCTGTCTAAAATAAATGTTCTCAGGTAGAGGAGACTGAACTCACATAGGGGTGCCGGCATATACTTGCTGAAGACATAAGTGACCAGGAGCATGTGTGCACTCACTGTCCAGTCACCAGTTACTGGTCAGCATTTCGTGCTTGAAATAAGAAAGCATCTTCAGCCATCTGCGTTATGCTCGGGGTCCCCTGGGGCCACAAACTCACTGCTAACGTGCTGTCTCCGACATTGGTGGTGATGAGCCCTTCGATGGCGCCATACTCCACATCTCTGGGGTTGAGGCGTTCTTGGTTGCGCCTTTTAAATTTTCGGAGAGCAACTCCCAGCAGGCAGGCTAGAAGGCAGACTGCAAACACTACAGACAGAATGATGAGGCCAACCTCCAAGTGGAAATTCTGGGTTCCAGGAAAGGATTTCCCTGGAGATGGGAGAGAGAAGGGTAACTGGCCGTAAGGCTCATTGTTTACGTATTATTTAGCATAACCAATGCCTGACAAGTAGCTCGCTCCTGACCCTTACCACACAGTCTCACAAGCCACAGAGTGTTGAAACTGAAAGACTTCCTAATACCTGGCCAACGGCCCAGTCATTTAACCATGATTCATTTAGACACAATAGGAGTTTGAAAAAATTCCACTGAGAACCAATTTATTAACGCATCTATGTGAAAAGTGTTTTTAAAATAGAAAGTACTACACAAATCTCTGATACTATCCTTATTAACCTGGATTTGATCTGTAAGGACGTTTTACCATCAAGCCCTTACGGACAGACACTGTGCTGTAATATTCCTATGAGAAAGTGCTATCTGAGTTAAGACCAAATGATCCAATCTGTGGTCTCTCTCTTCAATGTATCTCGGAGGTCTACTGCTGAATTCTCATTGCTATTACGTCATGATTTCTGCCTAGGAACCTATTCACTCACCTGTTCTCTAACTCGCTTATTCAACATTCATTCACTCACTCAAAACGTTCTATCCTTGATTCACTCACGCACCTAATCACTCATTCACTCTCTGGCTCAGACATTATTACATACCCATTCAAACATTTGTGCATTCACGCGAATACTCACATGTCACTCAAGCAAATATTCACTTTTGAGTTAAATCAAAGTTTCTCAGTTGCCTAGTGAAGGTCCATAATTAAAAGATCCCAAGGCGATAATCACCTCTGAATTTCAGACCCTTTCCTGACATCACGTCACCAAGCCCTGTTCCCCACGTATGCCTTACTCTTTCCACGTCCCTGGCCTCTTCAGCCATCCAATCTCAAGCCGAACTTCCTTTATAAATTTCTTTTAACTTTCCAAATCCAAATTAATCAACAACTTGGCACATGTCACTTGTATGATAAAGTGTAAAGCTAATTATGTACAGCATTAAGTTACGAATATTGCGCCTCCCTAATTAAATCAGAAATTCCTTAAGAAAATAAATTCTGTGTTACAACTCTAATCTGACAGACTGTTCTGCAGATTAGAAACTTTTCACCCTGCAGATATCATTTCTACATGAATGCAGACATTTCTTCATGGTCCATCCACTCTATTAATAACAAACTCACAAGGTTTAAGAATTCATCCCATCAAGTACCCTTTTAGGTTTAACCATTAAATACCTGACCTCGCTTATAAAAACATCTCTTTTTATTAAAAACTCTCTTTTATTATTGAACCCTATTTGCTTATCAGACTTTAACCTTTTCTATATGGCTTAAGGTCCTCACCATAACTTCAAAACTTATGAATTATGGAACATGATCTTGTATCAGTTTTTTACATTTTTCTGTCTCCTCCCTTTCTGGCTGACATTTCTCGCCGTGGATGCTCTTAGTATCCTCTCCTACCGTTTATTTCTTCTTTTGTCAGTGCAAAATTGGTTAAGTATGTCTATTAAAAATGTACTATATATTAAGAGAGTAAATTTGGCTTGGAATGAGTCTACAAAGACCAAGGTACATTCATGTTTGTAGGGACTCTGAGAGAGCAATTTAGGGCTCATTTTATGAGGAAACAGTTTCAGAGGAGGACTGAAATCCATATTGACTATAATACGGAGAAGATTCCACATAAACTACAAGGTTGATGTGAAATCTCACCCAGCTTCAAGTTTCGGTGATAGATTGCTGGGCATCAGATGGGTGATAGATTGCAGGGCATAGAGGTTGTCTCCTTCCTCATAAAGAAGGGAAGGTATTCCACTCAGACATCAGAGTCTTATGTTCCACTTTCCTCCCTACACACTCAACAGAGAGATGAGCATTTACAAAGCAGAACTGTCTCAGAAATTATGACATCATAGCTCCTTTCAGAAAAGGATGTCAGGAGCTGTTCACCTGCTCATGACCACCAAGAGAGATCTGGTCAGCCAAGCCATCCCCAAGGTAGACATCACCGTGCTCACTTTCCCAAAAACATCCATCCTCCTTGTAGATTCCAAAAGGCCATGCCTTTCTCCTCCTCACCAGAGGGACTTCCCTTGTCACCCACTGTTGGAAGAGCAGGAGGAAAGCCTTCTGGCTACTTACATCTTTAACCCACACAGAATCAGGACAATACTAACAAAAACCCTTGATCTAGAAATAGAAAAGTCCATGGGAACCTTTAGTGGGCAGCTGGGCGGTGATGTTCCTGTTACACCAGTCCCCTTGGCAGCACTCCACAGCTTGGCCGGGTGACGGCGGGGTCTTACAGGTCATCTTCCCCTGCTCATAGACCTGGAAGCAGCCTTTCTGGTAGACGTGGAAGCCATCGTTTATGCTCAGCGAGGAAAAGCACTGCTGGCCTTCACAGTGGTCCTCATTTCCACAGGAGAGGCCTTCACACACACACATGTAAAGTCTAGGGTTAACCTTGGGCTTCTCATCTGCAAAGGGAAGAGAGGAAGGAAAACAAAAAAAATCACTGCATGGGTTTAAACCCCACTGGGGGAACGATACAGTCTCTCCAAGACCATTACAAACACGTTAACCAAAGTCAGGTGAAGTATCACCACTGGCCATGATTTCCATATTTCTGCTGTCTTGTAACTCTCAGCTGACCAACCACCAAATAATAATCACGTCTCAAGATATGAATGTGCTCATATAAGCTGGGTACTCTTTTATATCCTATACTAGGCCAAAGAATGATTATCTGTCCACAGGTTTCTGAAAATGAACTTCTCCCACTGTGGTTTTCATGGTATCTTTGGTCTGATGGGCTCTCACATCCCGATTCTTGAACCAAAATAAAATGTTTTACCGGAACGTAATGCTCATCACCTTTATTTTGTGTTTTAAAACAAGGCTCCTAAATACATGGCGTCTGTCAATACCAGCTCCCGTTACCTCCACACAAGCCTCCACCAACTACTAATACAGGATTGCTGACACTGCTGCCGTCACCTGTCTGCTTCAGAAACACATCAGTACAGTAAGAGTTCCCAAGGATGCTCGGTCTATACTTACATATCCATATTATCAACATTTTCAGCTAAATGTCTAGAGTAATTTTTCAGTAGTACAACACTGAAGTTTTCACATTAATTACGAGGCTAAACACTGCTTAAACCTTTTCAACTGGCAGAAAAAAGTTGGCACCAATTACTGAGGATGAGGGCACAAAAAGACAAAGGGAATAAAACAGTGTCTGAACAGTAAGGTAATAAGTGGGACCAAAGGCATAGCCCACACAGGTGGGTCCAAGGTGCAACATGGATCATCAGTGAATCACACCGAACCAGACCTCCTAATTGCCTCTTTCTGAAAACACTCATTTGCAGTTTCACCTTTCAAATCACTCTTTCTTTTCCCCTCTTTTGTTAGAATAATTAGTTCAGACTTGCGGGTCCCAACAGTTTCCACCAGCGGGGAAGGAAAGTGAAGACAGAATGTAAACAGCCAAGTCCCAGAGGCCACTGATTAGCCTGATGAGACCACTTTCACCAAAGCACTGTTCACATAAAGAGAGTCAGCTCTCAAAACTCCCTCCGAAGGTCTACAGCACAGACAGGCTGCCTTCTAATCCCTGAACCCTCTGCAGCAGGTCTGTGAGAGAACTGCTGCTTTCTTAAAATATAACAGGTTGGATGGCTGTGCTTTCAAGAGGAGACCTTAAGGTAAGGTCTTTGAAAATGTCAAGTTCATTTACACAGATTTGTGTGGGTGTGTGTCGAGGTGTGTGGGTTATCTCAGAAAGAGAAAAGGCATTCTTCATCTTTCTTCTTCCCTCTTCAAAGGAGTGAAAAATAGTTCACTGCCCACTGTAATGTGGGTGCCTTGTCCCACAGAGTAAGGGCATGCAGACACACAGACACGAGCCTTCTATTTATAATTGACTTGCTAGGTCTTTTGAAAACCACAAGGGGCTCATCCAAGAGCAAAGACATGCCCGAAAGCAGAAAATCCAAAATAGCCGCTGACAGTATATGTGTGTCACCAGACCCACCCCCGAGGATCAAGAGCCCGCAGACATTTTTAATGAGCAATAACTTTAATGAGCCAAGGGACGGTCTTTATTTCTCCCTGCCTAGAGAAATCCAAGAGAAATTCCAGCACCAAGCTATTTCTATGAGGATGAGAAACATATATATCTGTTGACATAATCCAGCAAAAAGTTTACACTTGCCAAAAGCAAGTTGAAAGATAATATTTCTAGGGAGTCTAGACATGCTTGCCACTCTCAAATGGCACAAAGCTGGGCTGAGAGTTGCCAGCTATGCTGCCCAACAGGTGATGATTCTTTGGAGGGAAACGGATGGGTGGGGTGAGGGGCAGAGTTAGTGGTGTCATATTGATTTGTGAGCACAGCAGAGAATTAAAAAGACTATATTCAAAAACTGGGCAATAAAGCAATTTAGGTAAATTTGACACACAAACATGTACTTCAAAACCCTAAATAATTGTTAAAGGTCACTGATATCCAAAAATACATACTTAACACATTAAGGAGGTTGTACCTATCGATGCTGGGTTGGGGAAGTGAGGTTAGTGTTAGGATGAAGGGGTAAAGTGAGAATAATATAGGAGAGGAGCTGATCACAGGCTGATAATGAATTGAGGAGTATGAATCATTCACTCGCTGCACCTACGGTCCCCCAGGAACAACAGCAAACAATAACTAGACCATACAGGGTTCACTCGTCACTGATCCTATGGGAATGGATGGTCCAGGGTACCAAAGAATTAATGACACTCTGTGGTTGAAATAAAAAACTGTCAATTAAAAAAAATAACAACAATAATAATTTCTCTGGTGTGCCCTCAGAGTGAACTCTGCTCTTAAAGTTCCAGCCCAAACTGAACTCTATGTGCACAGGTGCAAGAGGCCTACTGCCTTTCCAAGGTCTCTAGCTTTTGAAAGGATGTGGGGACTGTCTGACAGATGTTTAAACTGTAGCCTAGAGAATTTTGCCAGAATTGAGCAGCCTCGAGTAAATACCATCTTTAGTAAGATTCAACCCACTACAGGCAACTCTGCAGGGCATCCAGGCTTAATGAGGTATAGATCTTAATCAGATCTTATCCTGTGGGGTCATAAACTAAGTCGAAAACCAAGGTTTTCACATCTTCCCCACCACAATCAGGAAAAAGGGAAAAAGAGGAAGAAAGACAGCTCAGTAATATGTAATAATTAACTCAATCCCTGCTATGGAGGGACCATAAGCCCAGTTCAGCAGTTAGCAAATGGGAAAGTACAAAACCAACAACTTCGCTTCCTATTTTGCTTTTCACCAACATTTAATCTTCTTAATTTGTATATTCCCATATAACTAATTAGCAGAGCCCTTCGTGAATCAATTCTTTTATATACAGCCAGATATAAATGAAGACCCTAAATTCACGAGAACGACCCCATACACCCATGCACATGTCTGCACGTACGCACACACTTCGGTTAAACGCCACTTTGGCAATTTCATCCGACAGAGTGGATTAGGCGAAGAGATGCCAAAAGGATTTTCTGAGCTAGGATTACTAATTCAACAAAGCAGGTTAAAAGCAAGGTAGTAACATTTTCAGATCTTAATATCCACAAGTCTAAGGAACACGGCAGGCCCCCCAAATGCCTATGACTCACTGTTTTGGTCTTGTTAAAATTTAGGAATAACCATAACATGTGTGGGCCTGTGATATCTTATTTGGGGTAGCAATGGTGGGTCGGGGAGGTGTGAGAATTATCACAAAGCTTTTTTAGGGCCCCAAGCAAGGGTCTGTGGACCTCTAATCTCTCAGGCCAGGATATAAATACTCTGCACATCAGGGAACGCCAAGGAAGGATAATCACCCTCTGTGACTGATTTTCAACAGTCCAGCCAGGAAGCACCACATCTGATATGAAGCATTTTACACTTGCCTGTGCTAATGACTAGGAGGTGCCCTGGCAGAAGGCAGCCAGTCTACGCTACCTAATTGACACTCATTTAAATAATGCAGTAATGGAAACATCAAGCCAGAGGTATTCCCTGTGTGCGGTGCTCACCCACACTGTCTGTTCTAAAGGCACCTCCCGGCATTACTCAGTGTCATGGCTGGCACCCTGTGCCCTCTGTAGCCCCAGAACCAGGCCCGTGTGAACACACTCGCAGCCCGCGTCTGGCTGGGAGCAGCAGGGAGTCCTCGGCACCACCGAGAAGGAGCCAGGGCTGGCTCTGCCACCAAAGGTACAGGCTCGGAATCCCAGGGGTTCACCGCAGCCAAAACTTTTAAAAGATTTTTCTTGTTCTGGGCGATACGCTCACCATCTGGACACACCTACTCTCACAGCCTAATCCTAAACTGGCAGAAGAAGAGGCAGAGCAAAGAGCATCGAGGACCTTTTTAAGACTGTCCACAGTTTGGGATAATCTCGTGCCTCGTAGTAAGAGTACCCGCATTTATGTCGTAAGTGGGACTGGAGCAATCTGGGCACAAGCTACAAACGGCTCTCCAGGCTCTCCCGCCCACCTGCCCAGTCACGCACTCCAGAATACGCTAAGGCATTTAAACCGATGATCATTCTAAATGGTGAACAAAACCCCATGTTTCCCACGAAAGTCCTTGACAGAAAAGACAAATGAGAAAATGGTCCAAGTCAACCAGCCTGTAGCCGTGATCCCAGGAGTCAGCAAAAGAAACAGGCTGAATCTCTTGTAGGCTCATCTTAAAGCAGCACAAATAATAGGCAGTTATTAGACTACTGCTATAAAAGTCCAATAGCTCAGAACTTTATAGGCTAAAAAAGGAACCCCAAACATCCCTGGACTCTTTCCAACAGTATAAACGATTCATTCATTTGAAATGACAGCTTATATTAGGCTCATAGATATGGGAGTCCTTCCATCAGCTCCTAATCCGAGAGTGCAGCATGGCACCTCTCCAGAATCTGAAAGCATCTGAGATCTCTGGCATTAAACAAAGGCTTACAGAAGGATTTTGCAATGCCAGGTATCACTGCCAGCAAGCCTGCTCCTAAGACGGAAACACAAAGGTCTGTCCGGAATGCCTAGTGAGGGGCATTTGATGGCCTGGCAAGAAGGCAGGCTATATGCCCAGAAATAAAAGACACCCAAGTGCCTAAATGCTCTCATTATAATAAAACATCCACTTAGAGAAACCAAATCATATTTTTTTTTCCTGATCAGAAAAAATTGATACTTGGTAAAGCTGTAAAAAGCCAAGAAGCAAATATGTTCCAGGAGTTGAGAGAGAGAATAGAGGCGTTTGAATAGGATCACATACAAAGTAGAATAATGACAACCAAAAACGATGGTAGGGTTTCCACGGTTTTGAACTCATCAGGCCTCCACTCCAAATGTGTTCTTCCTCCAGTGTTCCCTCACTGAGCTGACCAGACTCACCCCCACTCAGATGAACAAGCTTGATTCCACGACCCTAAAAAAGGAGA